TAATCCCAGCTACTTGGGAGGCTGAGGCACCTACTTGGGAGGCTGAGGTTACAGTGAGCCAAGATTGCACCACTGCACTCCAGCCTGGGAGACAGAGGGCAACTCTCTCTCAAAAACAAAAACAAAAACAAAGCTAAAGAAATAGAGTGAAGAAACAGAAGGCGATCAATGGAAGCAAGAAAGCCAGTGAAGTTTACATTATTGAAGTATATACCATCATGGACACCTGTGACTCAATCCTGTTGTTGACCTATGGAACCATGGAAAGAGTTTCACAAAAATGTTCTAGCAAATGATCAGAATGTGGACATTTATCCAATAAGTTCTGCAGCTCTTTGGTTGAGGATTTACCCTCTACCTGCCCCAGGTGTTAAGTGAGCTCCCTTCCTCTGTACCATCAGGCTGTGCCTATGCGACCAGAAGAGCAGTCACTCAACACTGGAGAAAGCCTAAAAGCTGCCACAGGGTTCCTTGAGATGAGATTCTGGAAGTTTGCAAAGTGCTGTCCCCCACTGCTATGCTGAAACTAGGGGGGCCAAGGGAATATATTGTGGACCTCAAGTAGTGTCTGCTTCCAATGACTTTCTCTTACTATCCTATTCTTATTTGTTCTTTTTTTTCTTCCTGCCTGAAAATAAAAATATGTTCACATACCGTGTAAAAATCTAACAATAGGCAAGACAAGATACTTTCCCATTCATAAATGCTTGATTTAATGTGAAAGGCAGATCATTCAGTCCAAAATGGTAGTGGAGGAGATATGCAAATGGAACAACTGAGACTGTTTTTGTAAAATCACCTTAGGAAAGTCAGAGAAGGCTAAGTGGGAAGGGCTAATCCCTGAGATGCATCTTAAATAATGTTTACAAGAAAGCCCATGACAGAAAACAACCTGTTTCATTAACATGCACTCTGATTATTTCCCTTCCATCTGCTTGCAGAGATAAATTATTCTGTTCTTGGCTTTCTCTCTTTACACATATTCTCATTGTCATTATGTAAAATTTACATTCTTTATTTGAGTGATTATTTGATTAATGTTGGGCTCCACAATTGACCAGAGGCCATTAGAGCAGAAATATCTGTTTTCATTAATCTCACTTGAATCCCAAGTAGTAACACAGTGCCTGACATACAGATAAATAAACAAACAGATGAGATGATAGAGTTCCAATATTGAGATTTAAGAGTCCAATGCTTTAGCAATCCCTTTAAAACAAACTTAATGTATGACTTTAGGAAGGTCATTTTTCTTTCATGGGCCTCAGTCTTCACAGTTGGTTATTGCATTTAGAGTCCTAAAATGGACCTTGTAGTCGAGTCTTTAATGACTCAAAATACCATGAAGATAAATTTGGCATTTTTGTTTTTCAATAAATCAGTAACAGCCACTCTTTGTTGAGGCATTTGCCTTGGAAAAGAATCAACCACCTTTACATAGCCATAGCATTTACTTCCTCAGACTGGAGCTCACATCTACACAGGTCCAAACCCTTACCTCTCTTACCCTCCACATATAGTGCACTTCTATATAATCTTATGCTAGAAAGAGAAGTGCTTATTATTTGAATATCAAACAACATAGACATGAGCATGCTTCCATTTGAAAAATCTTCTTGGTTCTATAGTCTGAAATATCCTCCAAGTAGATCTGTAACCAGGGAATATTTAAAGTCACTATATATATATTTTGTTTTTTATTTTTAAAAAAGAGTGGTTTTTTTTGTTCAAATAAAGCATGTGGAATTGCTATGTTAATATAAATCAGGTAATGACAGAGTTGATTTTTAGTGTCTGGTCAGCCCCCACTATCTGGAAGGTCCATGGAGTCTCAGATGTGTCACTAAGTCATACAGTCTTTGGAGAGTTGGGGCAAAAACAGAGGTCTGGTAAATTCACTGTAAAACGTGGTTGCCATAGACAATCATGGCAAGTTTCTAAAAGCAGAAAAAATCCTCATTGGTAGAAAGTCACAAGATGAAGGCCCAGATAGTCTTATTTCATGCATCCAGGCCTCTTGTTACCCTCTTGTGTACCCAATTACAAAGTCAGGAGAGAGATCACAAATTCGTAATGGATGTGCCTCCTCTTCTATAGAAAGATACACACGACCCTACTGGGGAAAGCATCCACAACTGCAGAGAAGAGAGAATATACTCTGAGAAAAACTATCTAGTGAGCTAAACATTTCCCTCAAACTTTCTGAGTTGTCAGCAGAACACAATGTCCCGTGCTGAAAATTATGTGAGCCTTTCCCCCCAGAAATCACTCCATAAAAATTTAGCTCTGTGCCATTTCAAATTCATCTGAGAAAAAGAGAGATAAAGTGTCCTTAAATCAAAGAGATTTATGTATTCCAATAAAGCTGCAAGATTTTGTTTTGATAGCAATAATGCAAAAGCCCACAAATTAAATGCTCTTGAGGAATGATTATGGCTGCAGGAGTTATTTTGTTTTTATCAGGATTGAATAGCTGTGTAACTTGTCTCTTACAGTTGTACAGATTGCAGTTGTATTGATAAGTGGCTTAGGAGAAACGGTGTTGAATGAGGAGGAAAGTATAATTTACTTTTAATTTGATTTCATTCGGTAAACCTGACTTTACAGCTTGTATTGTACTTATTTATTATTCACCATCCATGATACAAAGTAACCTGCCACCAGGGACATCAATTATGACCCCCCCAACTCCCCACCCAATGAAGATTGCTGTCATCAGAAGGAATGCCACGCTCTCTGCCCGTGTGTCAGTGACGAGTAAATGTAAAATTGCCTCTGACCTCAAAGGGAGTTTCTGCTTCTTCTCACTCCCTATTGCCAGAGGGTCCTTCACTTTACTTGGCATTCACTAAAGAGCCACAGAGGCAGAATAGACTGATCAAGCAATCCGGAGGCCAGTCAAGATAAATTAGATGCTTAATTTATATGCCAGGCTTTGCAGACAGACTAATTACACAAAGACAGTTTGATAAAGTAATATAAGACTCTGCACATATTAGCCAGAGTCTGCTTCCGTGAAATTATTGCTGATATATGTGCTACGGGCTTTGAGATTTCATATGCGCAAATGTTCAGTGGGCACTATGAAACACATTCTATAAAGGTATTAAAACTGGGTGCTATCTGCCAATCGTTTCTAATTTTATGCTGCCACTAAGAGACTATTCTTCCTTTGCTTTGTGATTTTATAGCACTCATTGAGATGAATGTGAAACAGTTAAACAGGAAATCTGAAGATACGATGGCCAAGAAAGACACTGGAAATGAAGCATAGACAATTTTCATGGACCCAGTCACTAAAATATTGGTGAAAATGGGCCTTTTGAAGAATCACGCTGGATCTAAAACTCTTGCCTTATCTCTTGAGAATTCAGTCTATCTGAGTGACCAGAGACACAGAATACAAGATAGGAGCTGAAACACACCGATACAACAAGAGAATCCTTTGGCTGCTAATGTTGTATTGCAGGATCACAGGATCAAGGACAGACTTTATATTCCAGAACTTTGTGTTTGTGGACAGTGGCTAATAGGGGCAGCTAATAGCTCATGTTCTTGGAATAGCTTTAAACACTATAATTGAAACGTAAGCTTCACCTAATTGCATAAGAGGGGCTAAGAATTGACTGCATTTAGTATAAATACTGATGGAAAGAAAAGGACATTTTAAAGTGAAGGATGTGAGAGATGAGATAATTGGAAGAAGAAAAGAGTTTTAGGTAATTGAATGAGAAGTTTGAGGATATTAGTACAGCCAGAAGAGAAACAGCTCTCACAATTACAGGAAGGTAAAATTTTTAGAAGTTCCCAGATATGAGAAGATAGCATCAGACTCTCTCTCTCTCTCTCCCTCTCTCTCTCTCTCTCTCTCTCCCTCTCTCTCACACACACACACACACACACACAAAGTCTTCATTTATTCCCAGAGAAAGATATTTAAAGCAAATACACATATAAAATAAACAAAAAATGTATCCAAAAAGTCACTGCAGCAACATACGAGGACACAGAATTTCTAGATGGGATAAGCACTGCCTATAGCAAAGTCAGACCTGAATAAATTTCCTCTGATTGTTCTACATGTTATGTTTCCAGTACAGTGGCTGCTCCCAGGTGAATGATGGTGCAGAGGTCATGGATATCTGGGCCATTGTATACATTCATTCCTTTTCCTAGTTAGTTTTTAAGACACACTTTCATCCCTTCCTGAACTTTGGTTCAGAAACCTCATAGGGTCAGAACCTTGTTTTCTGACTTTGAGTCAAGGGCTACCTTGGGGCTTCATAGAAGTTTTGACATGAAAAGTCCTCAATGTAGCTTCTCTAGAATTTCTGAAGAAAGTTTCAATTAATGATTTATAATTTCTCAAGGGAATGTGTTAAGTTCCTGGACATCTAAAATCAGCTTCGAAAAAATTTCTGTTCAACCCATGATTTAGCCTTTCCAGAGTGTTAGAGCACCTAATATCTCCTCTTTGATCTGTAGAATGATCAAGCAAATAATTGTGGCTACAGACACATGCCTTTACGTCCCTAAGCTCCATGATACTTGGTTTGCCAACAGAGTTTCCTTGGCAACATGCTTTAGTTATGTTTTACACTCTCTAATTCCTCCTCTGACTCAATTTATATCAGCATGAACTTGCTTTAACAACAACAACAACAACAGCAACAACAACAACACCACAGTCCTATATTTAAATTCTTTACTTAATCATAAGCTGCTGATTACAAGTGCATGCTGGGAGGCAACACAGCATCCTCCATAAGTTTAAAAGGTCTGTAAGTTCTGAAGGTAGACTTCCTCGGTTCTGTTATTTTGTCACAATGTAATCTTAGACATGTTATTTTTAAACCTTCAGATTATAATTTTTGTTAGTTTATTTAATAATATAGCAGTAATAATGCTTACGTCACTGGATTGCAAAGGGAATTAAGTAGCATAATGTGTGCAAAAAGCTTAGCGGTATGCTTGGCACACAATTGGCATTTAACAAAATTTCAGTTGCTACAGACGTCTCACCAGACTAGAACAGTTTTTTTTTTTTCCCAGAAACACATATGGATAATATTTCAAAGAAATAGAGAGTGGATTCTTTACAATCTCAAAAATACAGTGCTCTCAGTTACACACAAAAAATTTCTACTTCTATTTAACAGATACACAGATGAAGATGACATCTATGGAATCTTTTCCTTGCAATTGATGCATTCTTTAGTCCAGTAATATCATCTCACTTTGTATCCAAGACATTCTCTCTGTTCATGTAGAATTCAGGTAAGTCCCCTAAACTTCCTGGTCCTTTTCCATCTGTGGAAAAAGTGTGGTGGGAATATTTGTACACCAATGCTACTCTTTTATGGCTTTCAGTTACCAACTTATAAAAACCTCAGTTTTATCTAAAAAGTTAACTTTAATGTTTCATCAGTTACTAAAGTATCTTCATTCTTGGTTTATTTCCAAGTTTAATTTCTAGCCTAATGACATAGAAATGACTAATTCCTCTGGCACAAGAAAGTAATCAGTAAATTAAATATTCTTATGCCTGTATTCCAAACTTAAAATTGCTTGTTGGAAGTAAGGATTGAATGGAGTATTTGATTACAGTCTTGAATAAATTTATTAATTTATTCAAAACTCATTTGAGTGTCTATTATGTGCTAGATACATACTAACTTCTAAAGAAAAAAATGTGTGTATATATATATGTTTTTATATATGCTTTATAATTCATAAAGTGCTTTTGAGTGACATTATCTATTTTAACATTTACAATAATCTGATAAGAAAGGTGAATATCTCCCGTTTTAAGATAAAGAGTTTGATTGTGGGAGATGCCAAGTGACTTTTACATCATTCTATAATTAAGTACTGGACGGCACGTGGAAACAATCTACTAAAATTATATGTCATTTCCAATCAAACTGCACTCATTCTAAAATTTTGTATTTGTTTGTTTTACCACATAGTCAGGAAACATCCAGTTCAATACTTGTCTTTATCAAAACTTTAACCCTATGATAAATAAAATTTCCTTTCTTAGCCTGGGTCAGTTTTAGGATATACTTATTTCTGAATGATGGACTAATGCAGTGAAAAGCAATACATTATGCAGAGTCGGAGGGCCTGGAAAAAATTTTTTTTAGCTAATATATAATGATTTCAGGTTTTCTGACTAATGAAATAGAGAATGTCATGTTTCTCTCTAAATGGTGCAATTTCAGCTCTCAGGCTGGAACTTTATCAGAAATGCAGATTTAGAAAAACAGAGTGGTCTATGCATCTGCTCAGTAGAATGGGCCATGAGAATGCTTGTGAATCTTTATTTCCGTAAACCTGATGATTTGAGAGCAGAAAGAATGATTAAGTTCCCATGATTTCTAAATCAGGGGTTTGGGACTCAAATCCATTTCTCTCTGGCTTCTAAACCGCAGCCCCTGCCCCTGCCTAATGGAGTCTTCTGAATGTTCATCTTTTCATTATGGGGATGGGGAAGCTCCTTCTTCTCTGCAGCCTCAGTGCCAAGCATATTATGGGTGTTCAGTAAACAGGTGCTGAATTGCCTGTGTGGATGAACTTTTCATCATAGCACCAAATACCCGCCTAAGTACTCCATTTTATGGGGCTGGAGGTTTTAAACTGGTCTAGCCAGGGGCAGTTGCCTTGTCATGTTATTGAAATTACTTATTAAGCTTGTTTATGACAGTCTCATCCAGAAGGTGATTGTTTCATGTTTAACACCTTCTCAGTGAACTCACAGCATCTGATGTTGTCTATTCCATTTTCACAGGCGCATCTGTACCCACATGCACACAAACATGGAAAAATGATGTTGTTATTATCTATTTTTTTAAAAAAAGTTACTTGTGATTAGCTTATTATAAGCCAAAATCTGGCCCCTGAAATTTCCATTATGTTTTCTGTCCTTTTTGGGGGGACAAATATGTAGTTTAATTGTCTATATATCCATATATATAATCTCAATATTTATATTACAGTCCTTTCCAGCTATTGCCAATTAAATACAAGACCACCAAGGTTATTTTTCTTCTAAAAATACTTTCCTTTGACCATCATGAGCACAACTAATACCATGACCAAGGACACTTTCTGTAAAATATCTCCATGGAATTTCTATGTCAGTGAAAAAAATATGTAGAAAAGAGAATTACCTTAAAGGCAAGTTAAATATTGAGACAACACATACGTTGGTATGTATAATCGCAAAAAACAATTTGGTGAACATTTAAAGTTCGAACTGCCTAAAATTTTTATCTCAGTGGAAAGAATATTGCAATGCATTTTCTGTACATAAACAATGTATTGTAATTAAATATTATTCAATATAAAACTGTCTATTTTTAAATATATGCTGTTATACTCAAATATAAATATGTTTATGTATATCTAATATATGTATATTAAAATTTATTTAACCGTCTATCTCCCAAAAAAGATTTACCACAAAGTAAATTTCAAGAGAGCAATGACATGTTTATATTTTGTTCACAGTTATATCTTCAGTAGCTGAAACATTACCTGCCAGATAGTAAGTAATCAGTAAATGTTTATTGACTTAATTACCAATGAAACTAATCCTAAGAACTTCTAATGGTAATAGCTTTATGTTAGGCATAAGGTTACCACTGATAATTCGAAGATGAATTTGAACTGTTCACCGTCTTTAAGGACCTACTAGTGTGTTGATTTTTATAAAAGCATATAGGGTAGGCATCACTTTCAATTAATCCATGTCCCAAAGTTGGAAGTCAAGGCTCCGTGAGACTGAGTGTCTTGCTCAAGTTCACCTATCTAATAGTGGCAGAGTCAAGGCTACAACAAATAATATCTATCAGAAATTTCTTTCAGAAATTGTTCTGCATGCCAACAATTAAACTGCCAATGTTTAGACTAAGGAACCTCAATGAGTAAACCTGAAGCAGTTCCTTAATTGACTCAGCCTCTGGCATGATTCTCATGCCAGAGAATCAGCTAAAAGATACTCGGGGTCATCCCAAGGAACTCAACTCTTTAACGTGATTCATAAGCATAAGAAGAGCTCTTGGAGAAGGATTTTTCCCAGAGTCCCTAGAATTCCTGAAGTTATGGGTGTGAGACGAGGGAAGTGCTGGGCCAGGGTTTTTAGCTGTGAAAGGCACTGATTTTTGAAGTCTAAAAGAAGCTCACATGATTTTACTAATTTCTAGTGTTTTTTACAAAAATGGTTATTATGAGCATCGCACATTGAGTTGTCACTTTGAACACCTGGCAATTACAACAGTCTGGCTTTGCCTCCCAAAGGAAAGACATACCGATACACTATCAAAGATTGTAACAAGTAGCACCACATATTACTGCCATAAGTAAATATGTGAATATATGTTAAGTGCCTTACAAATGGACAGGTCTTTAAATGATTTATTTCTAATTTTAGGATTACATTTCAAAGAAACAATCTCAAATAAGGACAGACTTTTTTGAGAAAATGGTATATGTATTTTTTTCAAATAATGGAAAGAAGAAAATATTCAACTTACAATGGCCTTAGGGTTGTATGATGTGTGTGTGTGTGTGTGTGTTCATTTTGTGACTACCTACTACCTAAAATAGTTAATAGTTATAAATGCAAAGCATGTCTTTCACAGTGGTAATGTGCAGTGGACAACTATTTCACTTGATAGGCTTTAACTTTATCAAGGTATTGTTTCTCAAATAGCATATTCCTAGGCTCCAAAAGGACATATTTGTAGCAGTCTGAGAAAAACATATTTTTCCCTTTGCAAAAGAGATGATTCATTACTCAAATTTAAGAAACACTGTTTATTATAAAGTGTAAAGCCAAGTATATAACATATGCATGTGTTAACACACACAAACTTACACAAAATCCTAAAAGAAAATGAAAATGTTAAATATTATTTCTTTTCAGAATATTTTTATTTAAATGAATATATATTTTCCTTAGATTAAAAACAAGCAAAAAGCAGTAAAAATACAGTAAAACCATATTAAATTTACCAGTTATTGTATAATGAAGTCCAAATATATCTTATTTAGTGTTATTCTCTTTTACTTAGAATCACTTTTAACTCAAAATTTTATACATCAGCTCTATGGCTATCAGGCCATTTTGCAGTTTATTAATTGGACAAGATCTGTTGAGAACATTTTAACATTTTTTTAAATCTTTAAACATATGTTCAAAAAAGCTACAATAATATTGCCTTTCTGATCAATTCTGGATTGTTTTAACACAGAAAAAGATATTTCCTATAGTTTCAATAAAAGTGTATTATAAAATATAAATTATTAATGATATTACTATTAAGATTAATAATAATTATAATTATAGCCTGAGTAATGAATGAGTCTGATTCTCCACAGAGGAAATGGATGAAAAGAAAGAGGTGTTTCTGAATTAATTTGTTAGGGCCTTTTACTTGTGAGGTTGGCATTATTACCTCTATTTTTTAATGCAAAGTTAACACAGAGAAGTTAGCAACTTTAATCAAAGCTACATAAGTTGTATATAGGTGAGAATGCCAGAATTTGAATTTGAACCTTTGGTCTTTACATACACTTTTTCACCATTCCTATGCATTCCTGCCTCTTAAGTCCCCTTAAAGATGAAGTCAAGATTCTGACCTTGTCCCATGCAGCCTTTTATCTCTGCATGTCACATCTCACCCTCTCTTTACTGTCAGTTCCACTGAAAGCAGCTTCCCCATGGTCAATCTGGAGACCCAAACGCACCTGGTATTTTTCTTTTCTTTCTTCAACTCAATTAAAAAATACTTCTACATTTTCTTCTTCGGGTTTACTACTATGGACTACACACATCAGATGCTGAGAAATATGCAGTTAAGATACAGATATTCTTCAGAATCATTTTCATCATCTGCTATTCTTCAAGTTATCATTTTAAATATGCTCTGAAGATGTTTTTAAAGTACAATCTAGTCCAGGCGCGGTGGCTCATGCCTGTACTCCCAGAACTTTGGAGGGCCGAGGCGGGCGAATTGCCTGAGCTCAGGAATTCAAGACCAGCCTGGGAAACACAGTGAAACCCCATCACTACTAAAATACAAAAAATTAGCCAGGCATGTTGGCAGGTGCCTGTAATCACAGCTACTCAGGAGGCTAAGGCAGGAGAATCACTTGAACCTGGGAGGCAGAGGTTACAGTGAGCCGAGATTGTGCTACTGCACTCCAGCCTGGGCAACAGAGTGAGACTCTGTCTCAAAAAAAAAAAAAAAAAGTACCATCTAAAACTTGAA